ACACACACACACACACACACACACACACACACACACACACACACACTTTGTGTTCAGGGGAATTTAACTTGACAGGCAGCCGAGTAACAGGCATCATGTTGGAGTAATGATAGCATTTCACCAGGCAGTGTGCTGCTGAGCTTTGCCAAGTTGTGTCTGTGTGTGTGTTTTGCCAGTTGCAGCTGCCACCTTCATTAACAAAGACTTTTTTTAATTAAATCCTGTGGGTCTAATCTTATAATAGAGTTTAAGACGGCTGGACCCACCGTCCTGCTGCCCAGACGTGTCTCCGGCAGCGAGCAGCAGTGTGTGATTACCATATCACCATGAAAAATTGCTGATGACAAAGCTCCTGTGCACAGGCAGCCAATCATCAGGACATTTTTAAAACCTCTCCTCATTCTTTTCCTCCACCGACTTTCTCCCCGCGATGATTGATCCACGTTCATGTCTGAGATGCAAATGTCGCCGTGGCATGAGGAAAATTTAAAGAGGGAGAAGTGGAGGGACCCGCGGAGAAGCGAGAGTTGAGAATGGAGGGGGGGTTATTGTATTGTAATTTTTCTTTTTGCTGAATTTACATCAGTCTGACTTTTCAGGGGAAGAATTGTCTCTTATGATTCTCACTTACTTGGCTCATAAAGGTGCACTTTGCTGAGGACCACAGTGTCGTCTCTGCAACACAGATGGAGTGTGGCTGTCATGGCGAGGACGTCGGAACCAGCTGAGACTCCAGGAAGTGACTGCACTCGACACATAAATCCCTGTGAAACCACAACTTTGTGTTTTAACAGTGCGACATTTGTACCAATCGAACAACTACATCGTCACACATTAATAGAGAGTAACAATGAGCGCTGCCTTTCAGAACCAGCCGACCAGCTTTAATATAAATCGTGACCATAAAACATGGGAAAATGGAAAAAAGGCAAAGGTACCAGACTGTGTACATAATTATTTTAAGAGTGAATAAATTACGTTTCCCATAAACCATTGCAATGATCCCCTTCCTTCGACTTCTAGCCCTTCTTCTTGAAATGAACCTTGTTGTTAATATAGTGTTGTAATGAATTGTCTTGTATGTTTGTATATAATGTTTCATGACGTGTAAAGTAACTTGTAAACTATACTACTCACACTGTTTTATAATCTCGCAGCATGTGGCAAGCCTTGGATGGTTAAAATATTATGGCTGATAATCAAATGAATAGAAACACATCCACTGGTTTGAAAAAATATTAAATGTTAAATCTTGTCCTCCTCATTTTTACAGGTGAAGACAACAGAAACTGCAAAGTTAAAAAAAAAACACAAGAGGAAAGAAAGTTAAGAAGTTCAAACTGATTTTGCGTCATTATTATGATTTATATGTTGAGTAATGATTCAGCCAAATGCTGACTCACTCCATCTGCCAGTCTCTCCTGTCCTCTGTGGTTTAAATCGGCCAAACAAGGGAAAACTGACAAAAGAGGATGAAAGAGAAAGTAAAAGAAAACGGTGACAGAACTTTTTTTTATCCCTATGGAGGTGAAGGGTGGTCACATGTAAATGCACCGGGGGGGGGGAGTCGAGAGATGACAAATACAATTTAAAAACTATTATTTTGCCATAATTGTTGCACAAGATTAATTTTTTTTTTTTTATTTAAATTTAAAATAAAACCATGCAATTAAGAAAATACGATATTATCTTCTGGATTTTCTTCATTCTCACATGAATCCTGAGGTGATAATAATAAGAGACAGAAGCAGATGCATCTACAGCAACACAGTAAACATTGTGCACGTAATCCCAAATATCACTTGGTATAATGGGGGTCTCAAGTCACAGCTCTGTTATTTTGGGGGTCAGGGGCTGAAAAGTTTGGTAGCCCTTGCTGTAAATAATTAAATGCCAGTTTATTCATTCTTAAGTCTGGCTTATTGTGCAGTAGTGTCAGTGGCCTATTGTCCTCATGAATCACCTGCACCGATCATTTACATGGAGGAGTGTGAGCGATCATATCAATGTCCCCAGAGTCATTAAAACACTGAATTTATGCAGATTCTATGGAAACCCAGCGAGAAAACTCAGCTCCTCACTGATTTAAAACCACCATTTGAATTATTATAACATCACTATGAGAACTAATGTATGAAGGCAAGAATTGTGATCACTAATTCATCATTAAAGTCATTTCTATAAAGGAAAATATCTAAATGGTATCTGCTTTTAAAATGGGAATATTTATGGTTTTCTGTGTGCTCTGTTTTGGGGCTTTGGGGGACTGATTGAATTTTTCTCTGCTCTCTGACATTTTATTGCACAAACAATTAAGCAGCTAATCGAGAAAACAGACAGCAGATTGATTTGTAATTAAAACAATAATTAGCTGCAGCCGTAATAAGCTTGTCTCGGCCACATTAACACAAAGAGGAGCATCCTTTATACAAAGTGGAAATGATTATGTTTAATCCTGGTGCGAAATCTTGAATGCTTGTATTTTATGAAGATAGCATACGTTGCTAAAGTGAGAAGATATTCTATTTATTTTCCAAGAAATGAGAGATTGCAAGGAAGAAACTTTCCAGACTTTGAATTTCCAATTTAAAAATTATTTCACCAATGCACGCATGGAACGATACTTCTACAATTATAGAAACATAAGAATATCTGCCCCCTGATTCGGATCCACACCAAAATTTATTGGCTTCGTCCCTGACCCATATCGCATCACTTCACCAAGTTTCGTAAAAATCTGTTGGGTACTTTTTTAGAAATCTTGCTCATAAACAAACACACACACAAATTAACTTTCTCCACAACAACTGAAGTTCCAGGTCAGAGCAGGCAGGAGGACGGACGCTGCAGACACAGGAACTCAAAGACGTCAATTATAAACCTATGTTGAATCTGTAATGTCGAGTAAATTTGAGCTTTTATTACAAATGTGTGGCTGTGGATATACATCACACATCATTAAAATATGCCTGCAAAAAGAAGCTTTGGTCTAATCCTTAATTTCCTTTTCAAACCCTAAATCCCAGCTTTACTCTTGCAAATCAGTCACAATGATGTTTACATCTTTGTGAGGCCCCCTTTTATTTAAACTCTCGATTCACACGAATACAAGAAACTCACACATGATCCGTGCAGATAATTTGCGGACGAGCAGGAAAATAACTGTCAGAAACGCATCCCCGTCTTGTTCTCGGGGATAATGAGAGGCTAAAGGATCAATCTCACACACACACATTCACACACGTTCACACACACAAACACACACACACTTGGTCCCTTATCCCGTCAACCATCAGCCACCTTGCCCTCCCAACTTCCTCCTCCACGTTCTCTCACCCACTCATAGTGTCGTTATTCATGTCCTGTCTCCTCCCCCCGCTTATCATGACAGACACGAGTTGCACAGCCAATGAAACAGTTCCACCAGTTGCCCCGTCTCTAATTTGAAGCCCTCATAGCCTCGTTGTAAGTTTAAATTCAGTCTATTACATATGCTACTTCTGCTTTGCTATCATTTCCCTTGTATTTCTCCAACAGTGAAAAAACGGCCCATCATCTGTCAGCTTTCAAATCTGATAACGACTTATCCATGTATCATTAATTTATCGCCGTGTCTCTTCAGAGTTTTTTGGAATCCCGTGTCATGCAATCTGTCATTTGTGAATATAGGGGGGGGGTAAAGGTTAAAGAAATAAGTCATTGGAGCAGGTGGCTCTTATTGTAACAAAGCCAGTGAGGACTATATCTTTCATCTCTCCTCCGGCTGATGACAGTGACGGGCCGAGGATGCCAGATGAGAGAGACGATCCTCAGAGAGTCGACTGAAAGGTTAGAGTGGCCCCAGGCAGCATGCCTGATTAGGAAACACACACACACACGCACATGTGAGACCCCTTCAGTCACACACATGTGGTGCTGCAGACACTGGAGGATGTGGTCGATGTGTCACTGCTGTTTAAAGACTCAAACAAAAACACTTATGATGCCTGTTATAGAGGATGGGAAGTATTGAAGAAGAAAGAGGAGAGAGGAAGAGGACAAGAAAGACGAAGAAGGGGAGGATGAGGATGAGAAGGACAAGGAAAAAGATGAGAAAGATGAAGAGGATGAGGATGAGGAAGACGAAGAAGTAGAAGGAGCAAAGATGAAGTGATATTTGGACCCAAGGAACAAGTTAACAGTGTTTGCTAAGGATGTGTAGTATGAAGTTATGGGCGACTGCACATAAAATAATACATAAAAACACGTAAATCACAATAATGAAAACTAGAACGAGGTCAAATCAGAGAATGCAGAATGATAAAAGCTTTGATTTAAAGGAAGCCACTGACTAGCTCTGTACTGTCTGACGCCGCTCTGCAGATTTACTGTTGTAAAAAACATTTTGACAACAGGCTCCATGTGAGTAGTTCTGACACGTTGCTGTGAAACGTCATTGTGTGTTAAAGGTGCCGCCGCCGAGTTGCGTTGCTTGGAGCTAAATGCTAAATTGCTCACAATGACAATGTTCTACCCATAAGATTTACTGATTAAACCAACATCGCTTCACAGAGCCAAAGCCCTCTGCAGACATTCCCTTAGAGATGGCTAATTTTGTCAACGCACCGAACAATGTCGGCATCGATTTAATTTGCCCGTCACCATAGATGGGGCCCATTCATCATCACCTTAAGCTTTCGCAAACTTCTCAGCAAGACGTAATAAGGCTGAGGAGCAATTTGTCCCCCACTTCTCATTAGGACACTTTGGAGATCCTCCAAAGATTAATTATTTATCTGCATTAATATCCCTTCAATTATTGATGATAGGTGAGTGTGTGTGCATGTGTGTGAAGGCCAAAGATCAGCCCTCCTTTACCTCAGCTTCCCTCCTGATTAATGGATGAGGGAGAGGAGCCCTTCATGTATTATTACTGGGGAGAACCTGGACCTCGGAAAGAAGACAGAGTGAAATAAGGAAAGAGAGAGCGAGAGAGAGAGAGAGAGACAGAGAGAGAGAGACAGAGAGAGAGAGAGAGAAAGAGAGAGAGAGAACTCGGTGAATGATAATCATCGTTTAGTATGCAAACATGTTCTCTGTACATCGCTGGCGTTTCAATATTTGAAGGAGTGAGCGTGGAGACAGTGATGGCACTGAAATCGTAAATTTGTGACAACTCTTTAAGATTTGTGACGCATCACCACGGAGCTCCTTAAATCTGACACTTGTGGCAACAAGTTATAAAACGTCAAACAATGAAAAAGTAGAAAACGATAAATCCATTACGGAGTTCAAGAAAAGCAAATGATCATAAACATACAACCTGGAACTATATTCTTCTGCCTTTATGTTCCCTTCTTTTCCCCAAACTGGTTTTACTGTTGTACCTCAGTAGTCCTGGTTATTAGAAGAAGCTCACGTCTGCTGGTAAGGTTTAGGTTTAGGCACAGAGACTAGTCAAGGGATTTAAGAGAGCAATGTTTGAACATGTACTTCCTTAAGGTTAGAGGCTGTCTGTTGTTATGGTTACAATAAGAAAAGGGTGGTCCTTTACGATGACCACTAGAGGTCACCTCACAATAAAGACGAACTGTCGGACAAAAAGACATAAAGATGGACGACGCCGCTCCACTTTCTTATCTGGAAACAGATCTGCAGCCAGAGTCTGTGATCAGGGGATGGAGGGGCGGCGTCAAGGTCGAGCCGATACACGTGTTCGACCAATCATGAGTCAGTCTTGGCTGTCAATCACGACGTTTCACTGTGCTTTTATATCAACTGTGTG